GATTGCACCGTCCTTTCCTGCGTGTACCGTTACTATTCTCCCAAGTGGCCACTGTAATGGTGGCATGTTGTCTTCCTTTATTACCACTAGGTCTCCTACGGCAACCGTCTTTTGCTTTCTTGTCCATTTCGATCGGTTTTGTAGTTCCTGCAGGTACTCGTGGCTCCATCTTTTCCAGAAGTCCTGTCTGACCTTGTCTATTTGTTTCCATCTTGTTACTAGACCCGATCGTACCTCCTTGTTATGAATGTCGGGAGATGCGGTTATTGGTCCTCCAATCAAGAAGTGCCCTGGAGTCAATGCAGACAGGTCGCGTGGGCTGGAAGAAATGGGAGTAAGAGGCCGTGAGTTTAGTATTGCCTCTATGTCGATAATCACTGTTTCTAATTCTTCATATGTTAAATCTGCCGTTGACACCGTGCGGATCAACAAATGCTTTGCTGATTTCACTGCCGCCTCCCACAGTCCTCCGAAATGAGGTGCCCGTGGTGGAATAAAATGGAATTCTGTTCCTAACTGCGAGCATGTTTTAGTAATTGTCTCTCGAGCTTCATCCGAGTATATCGTGGTTTTTAACTCTCGTAACTCGTTCTTCGCCCCGACAAAAAATTCGTGGCGTTGTCACAATAGATGCTCCTCGCGACTCCTCTCCTTCCATTAAATCTTTTAAGTGCTGCCAAGAATGCTTGAGTGGTTAGATCTGACACCACTTCTAAATGTACTGCTTTGGTGGTGAAACAACAAAAAATGGCTAAATAGACCTTATGGGGTTTCTTTCCTCGGATTTTGTAGTGCACAAAAAATGGTCCGCAGTAATCCACCCCACTAATATTAAACGGTCTTGCAATTTGTACCCGATCGGTTGGTAGCGGACTCATGATCTGATTTAACAACCTTGGTCGAGCTCGGCAGCATGTGATGCAGCGTCGTACTGTCGTCAATGCAAGTTGTTTTCCCTTGATCGTCCAAAATTGCTGTCGCGTGTTTGCCAACAGTGCCTGCGGGCCACAATGCTTAAGCTGCCGATGCTTGTTCTCAAATATGAGCCGTGTTATTTCATGACCTGCTGGCAGCAACATAGGATGTTTTTCATCGAATGCTAGACTTGAATTCTGGAGTCGTCCTCCTACCCGCAGTACCTTGCTATTGTCCAGAAACGGGTCTAATGACCGATAAGGATCTGATACTGCCACACAACCGTTCTTCTGCAACTGCGTTATGGTAGGCTGGAATGCTATTTCTTGTATCTGTCGTATTATTCGTTGTAATGCCCTTGCTCGTTGTTCCGGAGTTATTTGTCCTGTTTCTCTCTGATTGCCTGGTCGACAATTGTTTCCAAGCCGCAACATCCAGGCTGTTATTCCTACCAGCGTGTCAAATGACACGTGGTGACTGATTTCCGTGGTCCAATCATTGATTTTGATTAGACTCAGGACGTGATTGTTTATAGTACGTTGTTCTGGGTCCTTCGCGTTCAGCATCTGCTTAGTCTGTTGTTTCCAGGTTTCTTGGTTAGTTGTTAGAAATGACGGACCATTAAACCACAACTCCTTATGTTTAAGCTGTGTTGCTGAACATCCTCTCGACGCAAGGTCTGCTGGATTGTCTTCTGATGCTACATGCACCCATTGCTCCGGATTGGATAGTTCATGAATCCGAGCAATTCGGTTTGCTACGAACGTATGAAATGATGATGCTGTTGCGTTTATCCATGCTAACACTATTGTAGAATCCGTCCAATATTGGACTTCATCGATCTTTATCCGTAGATCCTTTTTGATTCTTTCTGCTAGCTCAGCTCCTAGGACCGCTGCACATAATTATAGTCTAGGCAATGTTTGTTTTGCTAGGGGCGCCACTCGTGATTTCGCGCATAGCAGCTTACTTACTATTGGACCGGCGGATTTTATCGTACGAAGATAAGCAGCCGTCCCATAAGCGACTTCTGACGCATCAGAAAATATATGCAGTTGGATGGCTGCTGGGTCTGCCTGTGGAAGCGGATGCCTGGCGAGCTCAATGGTAGCCAATACCTGACTATCATTTCGAAATGCCTGCCAATGGGTTGTATCTTCCTTGTCCAATTCAGTATCCCAGTCTAACGATTTTTGCCATAGTTTCTGCATAAATATTTTTGCTGCTGTCGTTATGGGGCATAGTAGCCCTAGTGGATCAAATATTTTGGCTAATTCAGAGCACACAACTCGTTTTGTGACCGTCCCTTGTTCGTATGGCGTCGCGCGTCCTTGGAGTTTATCTTCCTTAGGATTCCACACTATCCCTAGTGTTTTTATTGTTGCATCCGAGAGTTTGCTGAAATCGAGGTCCAACGCCTGGTCGTCCCTTGAAATATCCTTAAGTAACTCTGCGTTATTTGCGCACCACTTCCTCAATCTTAGTTTTGCCGACCCTAGAATTGCACAAATCTGATCTCGTTGCCGTATTGCTTCCTCCAGCGTGTCCGCTCCTGATAAGCAATCGTCGACATAGAAGTTTTGCTGAATGGCGTCCGCGCCTAGCTGCTGGCTTGTCGGCGCTCTCTGTGCCAGATGTTGTAAACATTTTGTTGCTAAGTAATGTGCAGATGCAGTCCCGTAGGTCACCGTATTCAAATGGAAGTAACGCATTTTCTCTAGTGGGTTTCGTCGCCATACTATGAGTTGATAGCCCTTGTCTTGAGGATGAACCCAGATTTGTCGATACATTTTCTCTACGTCTGCTGTGAACACAAATCGGTGAGTCCGAAACCGTAATAAAATTGATAGTAAATCACTCTGAACTGTGGGCCCGACCCTTAGGATGTTGTTAAGGCTCTTTCCTGTTGAGCTAGGAGCCGAAGCGTCAAAGACCACTCTTAATTTTGTGGTGGAGCTGTCTGGCTTTAGGACACAATGGTGGGGAATAAAATAATGATTCCTTGGTATACTGGAAAGCTGTACCTCCGTCAAGTGATTTAAACGTTCATACTCATCCATAAAACTCACGTATCCTTCTAGCATTGCTGGATCCCGTTCTAACCGACGTTCTAGGCTGGAAAATCTCCGTTAAGCCAACGCTAATGTTTTTCCTAGCTCCCTTGGATTTTCTGCGAACGGCAATCTTACCATTAGTCGTTGATCCGGGCAGATTTGAACGTTTGATAGAAAATGTTCTTCACAAAGCCTCTCTTGGACTGTCATTGCTGGTACCTCCGTGTTAAACGTATCTAGCTTCCAAAATTTTTCCAGAGCTGGTAATGGATCCTCCCGTGTTATTGTCATGACATTTCCTGCCATGGCTGCTGGCACTCGTCGCCTCACTGCGCCGAACACAATCCACCCAAGAGTGGTTTCTTGTAGAGTTGGCTTATCATCCCCCAAACCGATAAGTCCGGGTCTTATCAATCGAGAATACACCTCGGGGTCCGCTAACACTACCGTGCTCGGAATACTAAGTCCTTCGTTTATGGATTCCGACGGTTGGTTCTTCGTCAGTCGTGGTAGGATAAACACAACAATCTCCTTCTGAAAGTTCGACCTTAACGATGACAGCCGCACGCGTGCCCATGACGAAGATCCTTGCGCCGTTTCTCCAATTCCTGAGATACCTTGTGATGTGCTGAAGGTGGGGAGAGCAAGTTAGTCCGCCATCCTTCTGGACATGAGATTAAGCTGAGAGCCAAGGTCGATGACTACGCGACAATTTTCTCGCCTTGCGGTTTGTCCTTGTATTGCCACAATGGCTGTGGGGAGTAATACGTACGGGCTTGGCGGTTGGCTGAGGGTCAACGCAGACACCTTGTTGATCATTGGGGTCTGCAGATTTGGATCTGAAGCATCCATCGCTTGCAATGGTTGATCTATGGTAGCAATGGCAACAACCGGCGCCGTGGATTCTGGATGTTTGTGCAACATGGAATGATGCCGTTGACGGCAAAAGCGACAGGTCATTGGCGACGGGCAGCTGTTTGTCAGGAGGATAATGGCACACCTGTCGCTAGCACGGGGACACTAGAGAGCACAGAACGATTCGCGTCGCGACACAGATAGCTAGGGTAGTATGGTGCCGGACCACAGGCGATCGATGAGCTGTGTTAGGGTGAGTTGACAAGAGTCTTTACGTGATAAAGTAAGAAGACTTGTGAGTGTTTAGATTTGTAACTGACTTTATTGAGCTGTCGATCAGAGCTTAAATACTATCATGACCCGGAACTTGGGTGCCTATATTAACTGACATGTTACGCCTCATATTGGGTTCACCTCCATTTTATCGTCTACGCTGCAGTGTCAGCGGTATGCTGCTTGTGACTGCTGACCCACTGAGTCGTGACCGGCTGTCCCATACTTGCAACGTCGGCACTGTATTGTGCTGCCACTGTGCGCCTGGTCGCTGTTCCGTATAAGTTGCATTGGTCGTATGTTCGGCTCGCTGACCACTTGCAACTCCGTCGTGTTGGAGATTGCGTGCGTTTGACCCGTGTTCGTAACCATGCTAGATCGATCCGAGTTACCTTGGTTACCAACACTTTGAAAACTTCGGTCAGACTACAAAGAATAAGATTTTTTGACTAGTAAAACTCTTAGTCGATCTGAGTACTAGGCTTTAAAGTCGAAACCGGAAAATTTTTAATGAAAAATAATTGTTTACATATTTTACATTTACTTTCCTTATAAGGGCTCATAGGCTCATAGGAATGCTGCTAGACAATTTGATTCATCTCCAGCTCCGTTAAAGGGAGAAATTTACTAACAGCTAGTTCTAAAGGAATCAGAATCAAAATGGGTTTTTGCTAAAGTTTAGTGCTCAGATCGGCTAAGAGTTTCACTAGGCGAAAAATCTTATTCTTTGTAGTGTGACCGAAGCTTTCGAAGTTCACCCGCACTTCGTTTAGCATGGTCTTACTGTCAGGCAGCTGGGTTTGTTGATGAACAAAACGAAAACAAATCAGTTGGAGCAATTTAAAAAAGATTCTGCTGGTGCACAAATAAATTAAAATACAAATAAATGGAATGTTTAACGAATGTTTTTATTTATGTAAGTAAGTACTATAAGGCTTCCTTCTCGTCCCACGGATGCCTCTCCACCTACCCCGCGCCCTCTGCAGCCTTGTTCCGAATCCCAAAAGGACTATTGGACCTTGAGGAAATGGGAGCCGGATTGCGAACGGGGTTGTTCCGACTGATGCTGCAGGAAGTCGCCCAGCACCCTGGCAATGGGTGGTAATGGCTCCTCCAGCTGTTCCTTAGCAGGCGCCTTTTTTCCTCCCCCTTATATAGGCCAGAGCGTCATCCATCTCCGCTTTATCTGCCAAGTATCAGGTGGATGTGGAGTTCTGTGGTTCCCCAATGGAGAGCTCGTCGGAGATTGTTCTGGTGGTTCTGCTGAAATGATACTTCTATTAGTACAACGTAACCAAATTCTTTTGGCCAGAACTTACTTTCTTTGCGAGGACGGACACTGAAATTCTCTGGTTGATCTCCTCCAGTACTTTAACTATTCCGCGGATTTGCCGTGTTGTAATAATGTATCCTGTCGGTGAAGTCCCACAATAACGGGCAACAGATTTGATTAAACGTCCTTTTTATCTGCACTGACCGTCTGCGGCTTTCTTTGGAGCCTTCCTTCCATTTTTAATTTTTTAATTCCATAATGCTTTTACACGAACACCGCCAAATATTAAATTTCTTATTCTTTGGGCCGCGGCTAACTGCATTCATCGAAATTCACTCAACAAATCAGGTATTTTATCTGGTATTTCCTTAGCTCATCTGAGTACCGCGTTGAAAAACAGTCCCGACGAAAAGTGTTAGCTGCGTGTTTGCCTCTCGCTCACTCCTATGGTTAGCTCGCGGTTTTTATCGATGTGAGTACTAGCCTTAACTCAAAATAAAAATAAACTTGAAGGCATTACCTTTAATAAGCAAATATGTAGAGAATCTTTGGATGCTGTGTTTCTGCGCAGTTACACGCAAAGTAATGTCCACAGCTAGCTTGTCCGTAAATAGCTTAAAATAATCGTACAGCTTCGCTCCAAGCTCGTAATTTCGCACCTTTTGTTGAGATGGACATTTTAATATGTTATACAATATAGTATTGAATATTCCATATTTTGTAAACACACAAATTTGATACAAAACCGCACTGAGCACAGACAAATCGCGAAACGAAATGACGCTCGGGCGAAAATAATAGCGTGGTTCATAAGGGGGACCCGAGGAATTTTTTGAAATAAAGTAACGGCAAATGTTCGCGACCTTCATTTATCGAGGGCAAAATGTGTTCTATCGTTGTTCTATAGTTCAGAAGTTACTAAGAAGTGACTTTCTGGACGGTAGGTGATAAAGCTATCGTATATCGATAGCAATTGGATCGGAAATCATTGTTCATTTTCATAAACAGACGAAAATTCACATTTATATTGTTTTAAACAGCTTCCAACAACTATCTTGAAATTTCACTTGACACATAGGCGGTGGCGTTTACCTGTATAAACGGGACGGTCAAAAGAAGTCTCCCCAACTGATGGGGGAGGGATCTCTGTGGAAAGATGCTATAATACACAAAAAAAGTAAAATTTTATGAGTGCAGCCACGGTCACACTGATGAACAAAAACTAACTTACGTTTTTGTTTCTTTTAGGCCATATTTATTATTGTTGAAATTGGAGTAATGCCAGCTGCTGTGCGCAAGTTCCGCCGCGAGACCAGCGAAATCAGCTGCTGCCTAAAGTACCTTCTCTTCGCCAGCAATGTGGTTCTGTGGCTTTCGGCTTTGCTGGTACTGTCGGTTGGCATCTGGGCTTGGAGTGAGAAGGACATGTTCCGCAACATCACTCGGCTGCATTACATCGCCCTAGACCCCGCTTTTGTCCTGATCATCCTGGGCGGCGTAACCTTTCTGCTGGGCTTTATGGGCAGCGTTGGGGCCTTGCGCGAGAACACTTGTCTCCTTGCGGCGGTGGGTACTCCATTGTTTGTGGATCCTTCTCAGTGTACATAGCTAATCGTGATCTTTGTGCCAGTAGTACGCTGTCTTCCTCAGTGTCCTGCTCATCGCCGAGATCGGTTTCTTTGCCGTGGCCTTCGTGCTTAAGGACAAGGGATGGGTGAGTTACGAATGGTTTTGAAAATGCTGAGCCTACGTTTATTAACACTTGCCTTTTGTAGATAAAGAACCAGGCCACCGAGGGCCTGAAGGCCTTCATCCGTCACTATCGAGAGGACGCTGACCAACAGAATCTTATTGACTGGATCCAGGAAGACTGGTTACAGTGTTGCGGCATTGATGGGCCGAAGGACTGGGACAGCAACAACTACTTTAACTGCTCGTCTATTGCCATTGGCAGTAGGGAGGCGTGCGGGGTGCCCTTCTCATGCTGTCGTAGGCGTCCCCACGAGCAGATCAAGAACAAACAATGCGGCTACGATGTGCGCAAGGATGGATATGTAAGTTTGCTGGTTATGTTATCCAGTTTGCCATAAATACATATCGTATTTCATCTACAAATTGTACGCAAGCAGCCTGTGGATAGGAACATTCATGAACGCGGGTGTTTGCGCGCTGGCGAGGATTGGCTGGAAGCACATCTTTTTTGTGTAGCGATTTGGTGTGTCGCCCTGCTAGTCCTGCAGGTGCAGAAAAAATATCTTTATAATTTTTTTGTTCCCTCTTCGCACTAATGGATACGTTTTCTTAATCTGTATCAGGACATTCTCATAGGCGTTTATGCACATATTCCGTTAGGTTAAATTTAATCGATTTATCGATTAATGTTCTTCGATTTTAATATTTGTATACCTTTGCAAAGGGTAGTATAGTTTCAGGTTTAAGTTTGCAAGTTATATTCCATTTACACAAGGTACTTAATACTATATAGCCATGTTCGTCCGTCGTTCCGTTTCTAGGGAAATTGGTCTGTTTTTTTTAAGCTATCTGCGTGAAACTTACCAAAAAGCTTCTTTATGAGGCAGGAAGAAATCAAGTCGGAACGGGCCGGACCGGGCTAAAATTGAATTAATATTTGTAGGTAGGTAAGGTATATAGGTTTGAAATGCTAAGTTATAAGCATCAAAATTTGTGAAGTTTTTGCTTTGGGATGAATATCATAATATCATTGGCTTTGGATTTAACTTTCAAAAAAATATGTAACCAAGAGTAAACGCCATCCCCAAATAAAGCGAATTGCTCGTTTGAATTTGATCAAGCAGTCAGATTTTTTTTCTTTTGGATTGCCAGATAGCTGAAACAGCAGCAGGATTTTTGTTTTCGAATTTCGAGTCACCTAAAACATTAGCCGATTTTTGTTATTTTGTAAATTTTCAAACCAGGCACATGTACATAGCATATGCATATTCAACATTTCAATTTCTCTGACTGCGACTTGAGTTTTAAAAATAAATAAATCTAAATATAGCTTTTGTTTTGTCTTAAAAAGTACTCAAAAGCAAAATCAGAATCTTTGAACCATGTTGCTAGATTTTGAACACTGAACAAAACAAATTTCAATTTACACTTTTTCTAAATCTTAAAAAAATTTGGGCCAGACAGATTTTAAAGCTATGGACGTTATAGTGGGCATGGCAACTTTTTTTGGTCAATGGATAGGAATTGACAAAACCATTTCATTTCTGTTAAAATTTGTATTCCTGCACCAAAAGAGTGGGTGCCAAATTTTTGGGCTGCTTGTGGGCGTGGCACCCAGCTGAAATAAACTCGCGATGTGCATCTCTGAAATAGGCATGTTTAATCTCATCATTCTAGTTTTTATAGTTATTGAAGTCACAGCGTTAATAAGGTCGGGCGGACAGACGGATATGGCTAATTCGATCAAAAGTCTTAACACACGTGTAAAAGTACAAATAACTTTTTGTAATAAGCTACCATCAATTATTACCATTATTGCCTTTTTACTAGTTGGGTTTTCATTCTATTTTTTTTTTCTTTTTAGATTATACTGAGTTTTAATTTGATTTTCTTGCTCTTTTTAATTTTTTGCCAGGGCATGGAGCTGTCAAAAATAATATATGAAAAGGGCTGTGTTCAAGCTGGCGAAGAATGGATGGAACACAATTTAATTATTATTTTCACTACTGTTATTGCTGTGATGTTTTTCCAGGTTTCTATTTAATTAAGTTTGTTCTATTTTGTATTTATCTTACCACGGAATTAGATGGACCAGATTTTAACGTTCAAATCTTGTAGATCCTAGGAATATGCTTTGCTCAGAACTTACGCGCCGATGTATATAATCAAAAGTCAAAGTGGCACTAACAAATGGCTCTTGCTGCCCCAACAGCTATTTAGGAAGGCAGCCAACACGGCGAAGGATTGTGGGAACTTCAAGGATCACCTTTATTTTACCAGGATCTGCAACTATTCATATATCTTCCGGCTAGTTTAGCATACTATACTTTATGTATGTGTCTAACTGAGGAAAACTAATTCCGTCTTAATGAACATTGAGTAATATTAACTAGGTTGCCTAGTTTGTTGCTGTTTTTATGTCGGCTTTTCTATGCCCGATTACAAATAAGAAGACAAGAGAAAAACAATTTAAAGAGATTTACTAAACCTTTTACAAAAACGAAAAATGTATCTTAAAATGCAGCTGTGATATATTTTAAGAAATGTATAAAAACCCCAAAATTGTAAGCAAAATTAATATGTTAGTACATACTTATTTTTATTAGCGAAAAACAATATCCTTTTGTATGGAAATATTATCATCGTAAAACGAAAGGTGAGATAAGTAACAATATAATTTGGTTATAAAATTAATGAACTTAAATTAAACTAATGCACAAAAAACGTTGGCTTTGCAGCATGTAAATATATTTTACAATGTCGGATTATAATTAAGCAAAGAGTAGAGGAGAGTAAGGTAAGGATAGTAAGAAAAGCTTAGACATAGCAGCTATAAATAAATAGTCATCACCATTTATGTGGTATAATAGGAAATTAACATTTCTTCATGATATAAAATTGCGGCTATAGCTTAGGGAATCGCGTTTATGTCAATTTAATTTTTTTCTTTATTGATCAATCATTGATTATTATTATCGCTTAAGAATTCGGCGGTGTCACTTTACTACACCTTGGCTCATCGAGCTTTCATTGACGCAACTGGCATCCCCACTTGCACTATGAAAACTATATTCGTATTATAAAATATTATCCTTTACTATTGTTGAGATACCGATGTTAATGATAAAGCAAAGAAGTTTAAGGTTGCCAAATTTATGTTGAGGTTTTATTTAAATCAAGAATTCCAGTTATAAAACAAGGAAGAACGCTATCCGTCGAGTACCTCGACTATCAGATACCCGTTACTCAGCTAAATGGAGATATGCAAGCAGCAAAGCGAGATTAAAATGCGCCACCTACCGGCGGTATACAGATTTAAGCGTTATGGGCGTTAGAGTGGGCGTGGCAAATTTTTTTTTTTTTTGGATCAATCGATAGGTATTGACGAGACCAATACATTTCAGTTAAAAATTTTTATCCAGCATGAAAATTGTGGGCGCCACAGGTTTTCGCGGTTTGTGGGCGTTAAAGTGGGCGTGGCAAACTTTTTTTTGGGTCAATCGATAGGTATTGATGAGAACATTACATTTCAGTTTAAATTTTTATTCTAGCATCAAAACTGTAGGAGCCACAGTTTTGGGCGGTTTGTGGGCGTTAGAGTGGGCAAACTTGCGCTGCGCAGGAATCTCAGGAATCTGCGTGCCTAATCCAAGTATTGTAACTCTCATAGTTTCCGAGATCTCAGCGTTCATTCGGACAGACGGACATGGCTAGATCGACTCGGCTAGTGATCCTGATCAAGAATATATATACTTCATGGGGTCGGAAACGCTTCCTTCTGCCTGTCACATACTTTCCGACGAATCTAGTATACCCTTTTAGTCTACGAGTAACGGGTATAAAAACTTTGTGTTGCCTGGTTTTTCCTCAATTGGTTTTTTTTACTCGTCGTTACCATCTGTACGCCGAGGGATAGCGGGGTACCGTGGTGGCGCTGATGGAATGTCGTGGGAGGCGACGGCGGGAAACTGGCGGCGTCGGCGGGCTGCTGCGCTGGGCTTCGGCGGTTTGCTGCTGGTGCTGCGGAAGCTGTAGGGGAGAAACCACTCGAACGCGTATTGCCCCTTAATCGAAATAAGTACTCGGGAAAAAGTGAACTTTGAAAGTAGGCGGGGGTGCGACCGCGATTTATTTCAGTTGAACTCTAGAATCGAACTAACTTAGTCTAAGCTCCTCTCTGCGCTCCAAAGCGCAGCGGAGTCTTCATGGAGGGAGCTAGGAACAGCGCAGGAGAGCAGGAGCGCTAGAGAGCGGTGCAGCTGGATAGCGGGGCCAGTCCAGATTCGCCGGACAGTGGGCCTGAACATTCCGCCCCCCTTGCAATCGCTAGCGTTGCAAAAAATAAAGGAGACGGAACTTCGGCCAGTCGCCTACGCCTCAAGCCTGCGTACAGGCGCCGGAGACGATTCACCCGAACACCATCTTCTGGGCTACTGGCAGTCCCTCGTCGACCACGTGGAAACCCGGCTGTATCACCTTCGGGTAGACGTCCGCGCCCAGGATCAATGAAACAGTGGCTGGCCGGTGGAAACGCTCATCCGCGAGCGGTAGCTCCTGAAACTTCTGGACGACGCTCTCACTGAGCGCACGGATGGGGGTGCGGATGCGCACGTTCGGCTCGATCTTGAGGAAGTCGGTTGTCAGAAGATGATCGCTTTGGATATGAGCTAATATTTCTTTGTTGTTGAAGGTCCATTTTCTCAATGGAAACCGCGCGGAATCTAGAGCACTTTGTAGCTCGCGAACAATGGACTTAGCGTCCTCGGCGGAGTCAGCTCCCGAAAGGACATCGTCTACATACTTATGATTTCGAATGACGTTGCTCGCTCTTGGATGGCTGAGCTGCACGTCAGTTGCCAACTGTTGCAGGACTCGAATGGCCAGGAATGGCGCGCAATTGACTCCAAAAGTTACCGTCTGTAATTCGAAATCTCGAATGTGCCCCTCGCTGTTGCGGAATAAGATGCGCTGGAACGGGGAATGCTTCGGATCTACCCATATCTGCCGATACATTTTCTCGATATCGGCACTGTAGACGTATCGGAAATATCGCCACTTCAGGATCTGGATAGTTAGATCGGACTGTAAGACTGGGCCAGCATGAAGGATATCATTTAAACTGACCCCATTCTCTGAAGGGCTGGAGGCATTGAAAAGCCACACGTAACTTAGTGGTTGTACTTTCCGGCTTGAGCACGATGATGCGGAAGGTAATAACTGGCAGAATTATGGGTAGGACGGACTTCTTTCATGTGATTGAGGTCGAGATACTCTTGAATCACGGAGTCGTATTTGGCTTTCAGCTGACAGTCCCTCTTTAGGCGTTGCTCGGTTCTTAGGAACTGCGACAACGCGGAGGATCTGGAGTGACCGAGGGCGGATTTTACGTTTTGAGGATCACGAAACGGAAGACTTACGACATACATGCCGTTATCGTCTTTCGTAGTCGTTCGGAGAAAATTTTCCTCACATGTAAAATCGGAAGATTTTGTCACTTTTACTGGCAGATCCTCCACCTCCCAAAATTTGGTGAGAAGCCTATCCAGGGCCGTGTCAACTGTGTCGGAGATTCGTGTGGAAAAAACGGAAATCTGATTTTCCCTTGGAGCAGGAACGGGTTCTGTTAGGATCCACCCGAAAATGGTTTCTTGCCCGAGGAGAGTGCCACAAATATTCGGCCGGGTGCCGCTTAGGAGAATGGATGGCAGTATGTCGGCCCCGACCAGAATATCTATCTGTGCGCTCTCGTAGAACTTTGGGTCCGCTAGTGACAGTTCGGGAAGATCCCGTAGAAACTGTTGCGGAATCGGACAAGATGGAAGGTTTCCAGCTAATTGAGAAAGAACATAGGCCGTCGTGTTTATTTGCAAGCCAGGCCTGGTCGGAGAACGGATGGTAAACTGACAAAGCTTTTTGGATTCAGCGGATACTGTCTGGTTTAAGCCTGATACTTGGGCTCGGATTACCTGGTGAGGCAACTTAATTAGTTTGAACAGCCGCTCAGAAATAAATGTTGCCTCTGATCCTGAATCTATCAAGGCACGAGCTTTAAAATTCGACCCCAGGTGACATATGTCAATTATGGCGGTGCCTAGCAAGACGGATCTATACCCCGTCGCGAAGTAATTTTGGACTGTAGAGTCCGTGGATCGGGAAGCGGTGGCAACTGGTGTACTTGGTCTTGATCTGGGTCTTGGGGCGGGATTCGAAGGCGATTGGGAGGAGTTGCCTCTGTGTAGTAAGGTGTGATGGCTGCCGCGGCACGTAAAGCAACTATGAGTGCTTTCACAATCACGCAGCTGATGCCCTCGTGCGAAGCAGTTTAGACACAGCTGCTTCCTCTTTATGTATGCCGAACGCTCGTCGACCGTCATCTGGAGGAACCGTGCACATGTGCGGACAGGATGGTTTTCCTTCTTACAAAGGTCACATCCTTTTGGCTTGGGTGCTACCCTTGTTTCGTAAGAATTTATTCTTCGAGGCGATGCAGTGGGGGCGGATGTTTTTGGCAGAGATTGACTCGAGCCTGACGGCCGTACGTCGTCTATGGCTTCTAAGGTCCGGTGACGCTCCGTAAGGAAGGCGTTCAGTTCCTGCCATGTCGGAATCTCTGCCTTATTGTGCAGGGACTGTTCCCACAAGGATAGCGTGAGCTTAGGAAGTTTGGAGGAGCACATGGACACTAGGAGACAATCAGAATTTTCGGATTCAATTCCGGACATTTCTAAAGCCGTAAGGCAACCCTGGATGGTACGTTGAAGTTCACGGATAGCTGACCCAGATTCCTGATTAACGGACTGCACTTTGAAAAGTATTTTTAATTGGCTATTTACTAACAACCGCTTGTTTTCGAAACGCTCAGTTAGGTTAGCCCAAGCTGAACAAAAGCCGTCGTTAGTAAGGGGGGAGTTCGACACTATCGTGTGTGCATCGCCGCTTGTTTTGGCATTTAGGTGAAACAATTTTTGACTGGCGTCAGCCTTGGATTGTTTATATAAATGGCCGTAAACAGATCCCTAAAGATCGGCCACCGCAGATAATCTCCGGTGAAAACCTCGGTATCGCACGGATGCAGCCGACATCCAGAGGGAATGTAGGTCTGGGTAGGAACAGCTTGAACTTGGGGAGCCTGGGCTATCATATCCGCGATCTGAGCCCCACATCTCTCGTAAACGGAATAGCGGTAGCCGTATTTAGCCTTGAGAACTGGCAAACTATCAGCTGCACTGTCTCCGGCTTCTGCTATGCACCCGCTGCATTCATCGTATTCTGCCTTGATGCGGTCCCATAACGCGCGTATTTCTTCGCGGCGGATGTTCAGCATGGACAGAGTAGGAGGGATCGGCGAATGAGTGTTTGCTCTGGATTCAAACTCACTCAGCCGATCTGAGACCTCAGTAAATTTGCTTAGAGCGATCTGGGAAGGTGTTAGTGCCATTTTGACGTTTGCACGGGTGACCCTTTTTCGGGGCGACGAGGTCTTGGCGGTTAGTTCGGGTGTGGGCGGATCTACGGATATGCCTGGGACTACGGCAGGTGGAATAGACAACTTGTTGTTATCACTTCCAGCGGACATTTAAAGAGAAATGACCTTTTTTTTGGGTCAGAATCTGCTCGCCTTTGTTTATGTGGGATAAATAGGAAACCTGGCTCACTTGTTGAACAGTGGAACGAGGTGTCGACAAGAAAAAGTA